AAGATCGCCTGCTTGCTGTTTGTGGAAGCTCGCTATCTCTTGTGTTTTTTCTCTCTTCGTGGGCAATTTGTAATACTTGGCCACACACACACACACGCTCACCGTATTGTCATGCACGCTCCAGTAGCGAACAAGGAAGCAGTGCATAAATTCGGATGACACCGTGGCTCAACCCCGAGATCGGCTGGTCGATTGATTCGGAAAACAGTGAGGACCTATTCAGATGCAAACCTGCACTCGTGCTGATGCCAACCACGACCTTCTTTTAGGGCTTAGGCCTCGCCGGCCAAAGTCTCATAATGTCGTCTTTTGGATTTAGTTGTAAACGGGTAGGTTTCTCATTATAGCTAGCCAGCATCTTTCCCCTTTTGGGGTTTTCGAACCGCGAGTTTTTTGTCAGGATGTGTGGTCTTCCAACTCCTTAGCTGTCCGCGATCTTTGGTTGGCGCAGCCTAATGCCTTCTTCCCTTGGGGGTTTGGGCTTTGCAATCGGACTCGCCACCCATCGTCTGCTTTTAGGGTTAGGGGTTTGACAACCAATGTCATTCTATTTTTTTCTAGGCTTCCGGTAGTCGCACCTGTTTCTTCCGGAGTAATTCCCGATGTTTTGCGAATCTGCGCCCAGGTTTTCCGAACTGCGTATCTTTCTTTTGCTGAAATTGGCTTTCCTGAATTTCGGTTGTTTTCCGAATGTTGCTTAGCCAGATATCGGGAAGCTTCCCGTGCCCTTCAGGTCGTGGCGAGGTGCGCTGCGACCCAGATGATTCAAGTTCACGGGTGGTTTGGAGTCGCAATGTTTGGTATGCAAACCTTGGGGCGTTACGTCTTGATGGTGGAGATCTGCAGGTCCCTAAATTGGGACCCTAAATCCGAAATTTCTACAAGCGGGGTAACATCGCCGAGAGGTCGCGGCCTGCGTGCTGGCCGGTGGCCAGGGGACCCGCCTCGGTTTTGTCGGAAGCCCAGCGCCGAACACAAAAGCACCCCACCCTCGTCCTTGCCACTGCCGTCGCCATGTCACGTTCTTCATCGTCATCAACATCATTATGACCAGCGTCATCGTCAACAGCAACAGCAAGAGCAGCAACAACCGCAGCCTCTACGACGACGACGACGACGACGACTGCGAGTCTGCTAGTCTTAGTACCTCTACGGCTTCTCTACTCCGACGATGACTGATGACTCCTGATGATCCTGCTGCTGCTGCTGCTGCTGCTGCTGCTGCTGCTTTCTTGTGCGGCTCCCGCTATCGCTACTGCTACTGCTACTACCACAGCGACTACCGCTACACTTACACTACCACCACGACATATCGACCATCACGACCTATCACGACCACCACTGCCTCATGCATACATGTCAAAATCATGGCCTCTCTGGTCTTCCAGCTAGGGTCGTCCCTTTACACGCAAAAATACGCAGCCTCAAGCAGAGGAGCCTCACTCTATAAGCCCGGCTTAAGAAGGCCCTCATGTCGGTACGCTCAAAAACCCCAAAAGCTCATTCCTGACCACAGGATGGCCCAATACCCCTTAATTAAGGAATATACCTTAAATCATAATATGAAGGCCCCTAAGGTATATTCCTTAATTAAGGGGTATTGGGCTCTCTGGGACCACAGGATGGCCCAAAAGGCTGCTACGACATCGGCCTGCCTTCCAAGAAGCCCTTGTTCCAGCTCTTTGCCAGGGTCCGAGATTCGGGTCTACAGCGAAGTTACGGCGTTCTGAAGGCTTAAAGTTTTTTGAAACCCATATGCAGGAATGATATGTAGGGCTCAGTGTTCGATTCCGGGGTTTAACGGCTTCAGGTGCTCAAAAAAGGGGTTTTATGTGGACTTCCGGGTCAGGCTCATGGAGCAGGAAAGCTTTGGGCTTTGAGGCCTCAGTGGTTTGCAAGCCCTAAAACGTAAACTCTAAGCCACCCTACCCTCAACCCGGGTTTCGGGGGTTTGGGGTCCAGGGCTGGGGGGTTTCGGAGCCGGAAAAGCATTTCTGGGGTGCTGCCGGAGCCTTGGGTCTCGTCACGCACATCCACAAGACCCCTTTACGGCTTAGGGTTTAGTAGGGTTTAGCCTTAGGGTTTAGTTTTTTTTTTTTGCGGGGAGGCCGTGAAGCACTGAGAAGTTTCGGGCTCCACTGGGGAATTGTGCCTCGGGCTTAACTTCGCCAAGCAGCCCGAAGTTCTGGGGACCGCTTTGCAGAAAGCACTGGACATCGCTGCGAGCAGTTCCTGAGGTCGAGAAACTTCTAAGGCTTCGAACGATGGCCAAAGAGGTGCACGGGTGCACGGTATAGTGCCGGTTAGGGTATGTTAGGGTTTCGTGATGCGCATCTCGTCTGTCATGGCCATTACTGATGCTCTCGGTGTTTGTTGTTGTTGTTGTTGCTGCTGCTGCTGCTGCTGCTGCTGCTGGTGCTGGTGTTGTTGTTGTTGTTGTGATTGTCATGTGCAGAACTTCTTGCGGTTGTTGTGGTTGCGACATAGTGATACTGAATGTTCGTTGGCATTGTTCTTCTTAGACATACGGCGACTGCGGACTAGGTTTGCAACATAAGTGTGTGTTGCCTTGTGTCGTGGAGGGTGGGCTGAGGGGTGTGGAGAAGAAACGGATAAAAGGAACGAAGAATAGCTGATATCGTTCTCGTTTTGTTGATTCAGGCTGATAGCCTCTGCGTAGGCATTTGGCTTGTCACTGGTTGGGAGAGGCTGGCGGGCCAAATCCGCGGCTTCCGTTCCTCATCATGACCAGCCGGGCACGCAGACACCGGATCGGCGACCATAATTATGGGCTTGCACAGGTAACCTTTCCACCGAAGCACCGTTCTAATTGATGCATGCAAAGCGACTGCTAGATGCAGGCAATGCTTGCCGATAGTATTCGCAAAAAGTAACATGTGAGCGAGGTAAAGGCAGCTTGAAACCGCGGTTTTGGAGGGTTCCAACACCTGCTACGCGAGCCTCCTGAGACTTCGAGCGTCAGGGGTATAGTGTGCAAGCACGGCGGAGCATGCTCCCGTGCTTTACAGAGCCCAGACAGTCGAGTGGTGTGGCTGTTGTGCCTTAGCTTATGACTACCCATAGGCCCCTAAGTAGTTCCTTTTTGGGTTTACCTTATAGGATTCGAAATATAAACCACAACAATGAAAGGAACTACTAGGGGTTTATGGGTAATTGTTACTTGATTGCGGGCTGCAACAGGAACCTCAAGTGCAGCGAGGAGTGTACCGATTCTTCAACCTACTGCCTGGGCTTCGAAGTATAAGACTGAGAGAGCGTGCTCCCCAAGCCCTGTAGACCCTAGACCCCTGCTTATCAGAGGAGCCCTGGAAGGTTTAAACAGAGCCTCACTGATTTAATCTAGGACTTCCCAGAAATCCAAGCACCCACCCGGCGCTGTTCAGACTTTCAGTGCGGCCAAGACATGTTCAATGTCAGCCTGACTCTAGGCCCAGGGAAAAGCAAGATCGACGCTGCATAGACATTTCAAGAGGCCATCCCCGGAATCTGACACGGAACCTTCCCTGACCAGAAAGCGGAATCAAACCTAAGTCGAAAAGCTTTGCCCTATCGTACCTGTGGCCCGAGACCTAAGGGACGATAGAAGGAATTCAGAATGAGAAGCCGCAAGGGTGAGAAGGTCTTCTTGAGGGCTGCAGGGAGCAGTAACCAAAGTTGGGGGAGGGGGGGTGCAATTTCAGCCCAATAGGTCCGATGACACACATGCAGACGGTGAGCTTTTTCGATGAGCCCGAGACCCAGCGGTGAGGGGTGTGGGCAAAGACAGGCACACCAGCAACACACCCTTATAGCCCCTAGAAACTTAAACTTACGAAGACCCTTCTGGTCGCGTTTGAGGCTAGGTTGCCCTTGAGTTCACCTAGGAAACTGGAGAAGTAAGGCTCCGGGTTCAGGTTAATCTGAAGCCTGACCCGAGCTTTCTGGAGTGAGGGCCAAGGGCCATTAAAGGTCCCATGATTTTTTGGCCTGGTCGGTTTTGAGCTTCTTGGGCTTGCGACGGTCGAGAGTCGAGATTCTTTCGGCGATGACTCAATATCTTATCGACACAGTCGAATCGGTATACCCTCCCTGGTATAAGATGAATACCGCTGTAAACGGCTTCATGTCCTTGACCTGTGCCGGTGTTATAATTAATTAGCTGCCTTGAAGAGGCTTTCCGACATGTTGAGAGGCACATGTTGAGATGTCACAGATGCTGCTGATATCGACCCCTGACCCATCCTGCCGACGAGACTCCTTCAGTCCGAAACTTCAAGCCCTATAGAGCCCAAATCCGGCAATCATGAACGAGCATCTGCTGGCTTCGCTTTGCACTCCGGCCCGGTGGTGGTTTGCAGTGCCACTTTCTAGTGAACAGGCGGCGCAGCACACCTCCAGCCTCCACCTGACGCTCTCCTTCCCTGGGCCCTAGCTGCCCTAGCTACTGCCAAAGGAACAACTACTTCGGGGCGTCGAAGGAAGAAGTGCCCCATCTGGCTTGGGAACGAGTCGTTGCTTGAGAGAGCAGGAGAGAGAGAGAGAGA